TGGGTGGCCAAAAAAAACCTCTGTAGGGGAAAGAGATGTAGTTGTATGAACGGTGTTGTTGTAAGCCAGAGCGGATGAGTGGATGTGCTGGTCCCACTGATTGGACTGGCCGTCGACGGCTTTTGCTTGGATCTGCATGAGTGTGCGGATGGCCCGCTTGCAGCACCCGTTGCCTTCCGCGTGCCCGGCGTGTGCCACATGTTGTTTTACTCCTGCATCGCGCAAAAACCATTTAAAGGCCCTGGAACAGAACACGGAATTGCAGTTGGTATGGACGTAGTCAAACAGGCCGACTTGTTGGAAGAGCTCTGCTAAAAACGGAATAACAGTCGCAGCGTCTGCTGCTTTAATTGGTTTTACCATCATGTATTTGCTAAAGTGGTCAATGCAAACAATAGCGTAACGGTTTCCCGTCGGTGACGTTGGCAAAGGTCCGTAAAAGTCAATGGTAAGCCGCTCGCGGGTATGGGTGGAGATGATCGGCGATAGTTCTGTGCCCGTAATGGTTGTGGGGATGTTATACTTGAAACACAGAGTGCATTCCTGCACCCGTTTCCACACGTCTTGTCGTAGTGAGGGCCAGTGATACCGCTGCTTGTAGATCTTCTTCAAACCAGGGTGTCCTAATTTGGCGTGGTATTCATCTATAATTCAGAGTCTGTCTTCTTCTTTGGGAATTTTGCAAGCGTCGCCTGCATTGATGCAGACCCTGCTCAGCGCGTCAGGCCCTTTAAGCAGCTTGCCTGGTTTGTGCACAAGTTTCAGTTTGAATGGCGCCAACTTGGTCTTTAGGTAGATTAGTCTGGTTGTCTTGAGTTTGCCGAAGAGGGCTTTGTCGTCCGTATAAACTGTAAAGCTGCGCATTTCCAAATAGTGGCAAAACTTACATGTAACGCTCCAAATGATGGCGAGTAGTTCCCTCTCAGAGTTTGTATACCGCGTCTCGGTGTCCAACAGCACTCGGCTAGCATACTCGATGACCTGGGGGTGGCCCTGTTTGTCAATTTGGACCAAGATCGCCCCCAGGCTTGTTGATGATGCATCGCAGTGTACTTCTGTATGTCGGTTTGGGTTGATTCTCTCCAGGCAGGAGGATTCAGCCAGGATCTCCTTGATCTGGGCGAAAGTTTGCTCCGCCGCGGTGTCCCAGGTGAGGTAGGTCAAGGGTTTTGCCGGTATGATGTTCCTGAGTGCCTTCTCTGCTTCTGCAAAATTCATGGGAAGGTGCGCGCGGAGGTAGGTTGCCATACCGAGAAAACGTTGAAGTTGTTGAGTGGTCTCCGGTTGCGGGAATTTGCGGACGGCGTCCATGTTCTTCTCAATGTGTCTGGTCCCCGTCTGGTTGACCTGGTGTCCCAAAAACGTGATATACTTAGCCAGGAAGGTAGACTTCTTGAGGTCTATGGCCGCCCCTGCCGCTGTGAGATCCGTCAGCACCAGGTTGAGGTTGTTGCGAACCTGTTCAAAACTTGTGCCGTACACAATTATGTCGTCCATGTACACTAAACACCTGATGAAGAGATGTTTCCGCAGGATGGAGTTGACAGCTTGCTGAAATGCCGCAGGTCCCATCTTGAGGCCAAAGGGCATCACCCAATACTGCATCTGGCCGCGTGGTGTCCAGAATGCTGTCTTCTGCCGGTCCAGATACGCTATCGGTAAGTGATGAAAGGCTGAGTGGAGATCAATGGTACAGAAGTACTCATTGTGCCGTCCGAGCAATTCCAGAAGATCTTGGATCACCGGCATCGGGTAGTGGTCGTCACTCAGGGTATCATTCAGTGCTTGGTAATTCTTGACAAGTCGCCAGCGCTTGTTATGCGGCGCGTTTGTGTTGTCGGATTTCTTTGTTAGGAAGGCTGGCAAGTTGAATGGCGAGGATGCCGGTTCAATGATGCTGGCCTTGATATATTTGTCCACCAGGGCGTTGAAGGGTATTGTCATCTCCGCTGACTGTTGGAAGGCGCAGGTTGCTGGTATCTTGTTGGAGATGGCAGTAAGTGTGACAATGTGTTCGGGAAAAAAGCCTCATCGTCGTCCAGACCACTGGTGTAGTATGCCCTCAGCGTGTTTACATAGGATATGGGTGACCTGCTGGCGTTCCTCGGCAGAGCCATCTATAAAAGAAATACCTTCCCCTTTTGCAAGCGTTGGGGGTGCTCGGTTGCATGATGTTTGCTGAAATCCTACAAAAGAACGTTTGCCGTCGATCGTCAGCGTAACTGGTAGCTGTAAGAGCGCGGTGCGGCCGAGGATAATCGTGGGTTTGAGCAGCAAAGGGAGAACCAAAAACTGAAGATGATACTCTGCTTTGCGAAAAAAATGATATCTTTGCAGAGTGGCTAATCTGAACTGCGGAAGAGGTTAATGACATATGGACGGACATACTGAGTGGAGCTGTTGGCAGAGGCAGGGACTTGATCAGCCGTGGAGAGACAAAGGCATGGGATGCCCCCGTGTCAACCAAGGCAGGAACCGTGTGATCCCCGATCTGTAGCTTCAGGATGATTGGAGGAGGAGCAGCAGAGTCAGCTGCTACACAGTGTGCCGTGTTCACTGTGGCTTGCTGGCATTTCCCTGGTTTGTTAAAGGACAGTATTTACTAATATGCCCAGGGGCGTTACAATGAAAACAAAGAGTTGGATTTGCCTGGTCAGAAGTTGACGTTGCTGATTGCGTTGTCATCTGGGCAGGTTTCGAAGTGGTTTGTTGTCCTCTGGAAGCCGCGTTACCATTGCGTCGAAGGAGAATCCTGCAGTTCTGCGGCGAGTGCCGGACATTGCGTTGGTGCCCCTTGCACCATTGTTTCAGAGGCAGGTTTGGCCGGTTTCCTGATGTCTGCTTGGCTGAGGTGGATTTCCCTTCGGCAGCTGGTTTAGCAACCAGTTTGGCAGTTGCATGCTTGTGGAGCCGGAATTTTTCTGCTTCTTCCACAGCTTTCTCCCAGGTCAGGTTACGGTCGTCGGACCATTGTTCTCGGAGTTTGTCACGAAGTTTGTCGGAAACTGCTGTCAGCAACTGGTCAATCAGCATTTTTTGCCGGATGTCGTCTGCGGAGATGGGTTTGTCAGGGGTTGCACTGGTGAACAGGTCGAAGGTGTGTTCCAGCCATTCTCCAAAGTTGATGAAGCTCTCCCCAGGGTTGGGTCGAGCCTGCAGGAACTGGTCCAACCGGTCCAGATGCAGAGTCGGATACGCTTGGGCAAGTGCTTTTGCTAGGGCCTCGAAGTCAACGTGGCCTTTGCGGAACAGGATTGCCGCGGATGCCTGGATCTCCGGACGGGTGTTGTGGAGTAAGCAGCGGACCTTCATGCCCAAGGTAACATTGTCAATGGCAAGCATGCGACGTAGTCCCTCAGCATAGTCCTCAAAAGGTTCTTCCTCCTGTTGTTTTGGTAATTCAGAAAGGCAAAGCTCACCAGAGTTGCGGGCCGGCAGGGGCGGTAGCTGCAGAGTTGAAGGCATAGCCGGTGATGGTGATCCGCTCGTTGACGAGAGGAATGACCATGGACTGGCGCTTGGAAACTGTGCGGCCTGGAGTTGCCACCCCGGTGGCGGTAGCCAGCCCTGAGCTAACGTGGCTGGGATGAGATTCTGCTTGAGCAGCGCGATGAGGTGCTGTCGTTTGGTCCCGGCGGATTGGCCGAGGTTGTATGCTTGTATGAGATACTTAGGGGTGGGCACTGGAACTGTTTCCCAACCTGATGGTATCGCTGGTACTGGAGCCTTTGGTGCTGGCAAGGCAGGAATTAATTGCGATGGACCAGCCTCGGCCTTGTCAGCATTCTCCATGTTCAGCGGGATGTAGGGCTGCGCTGCGGCCTTAGAATTTTTGGTTGTACAAACCATTCACTCATGGACGGAGTCGAACGGGAGGTAGGGTTCGGGCCAGACGAGCCCCCAATTAGAGATTGTCAGAAATAAATGTCCTCGCCTCCTTGCCACAATGTAAAATGGTCCTATTGATTTCACAACAACATATAAGAGTCACTAAGTCACACAGTAAAATAGGAAGAAGTGCTCAGTTTGAGATCTAGGAGCAGAATGCCTTTGGGAGCTCCCCGCTGGTTCAGTAAGGATCTCCCTTACAGCGACATCTATCCAGGCATGCGGGACTCCCGTGTCATCCAGCTTACCCATCTGTTTTACCGGAACTCCCGGAAGGAGGGACCCGAGGAGAGGTGGAAGCAACAGGGAGCCCCAATCGTCACTTTGCTCCGAGATCTCAACTAGAGCACTTCTATACTTTTTACTGTGTGACTTGTGACTCTTTATGTTGTTGGTGGAATCAAATACAACTGTTTAAATTGTGACAAGAGGCCGAGGACATTTATTTCTGCAACAAACCTTATTGTTCCACCTCTCCTCTGGTCCTCCTATCCAGAAGTCCGGGTGATGCAGACGGGTCGGTTGGACGACACGAGGTTCCCCCATGCTTGGCTAGATGTCGCTGTAAGGGAGAGCCTTACTCTATAGACATGCCGGACGGCATAGCACACACTGGAGTACACCCTGCATCGGTGTAATTGTTAAAGGGCCGCAGGCAGTGTCACTGTATGTGGAGGAAATTCAAGTTGGAGAGTACGAATTCCTCGCGACAGGGGCATTGGGACGTCTATTTACCGCTGCCGATTACAATGTGAAGTTGTGTGTGGCCTTGGAGGGTGTACGTGCTGCTATATTCACGATCTGTACCAGCCTTAGTATCAACAGAATTTGGAGCTTATGAACTTCAGCAATGTCACTAGAAACCTGTCTGTCGTTCGACGGCGCGCGGCGTTTTTTCAATTCTGGTGCCGTGCGCTCATCTGTGTTCTGAATGTGCTTGCTTTGGTAGTTACTGGGTGTGTGTGTTTGACGAAGTTTGGGGTCTGGAAACTTGTATTGACGGGTTCTGAACCCATCTCTTTCCCGATTCTGCACGGGACTAACTTCATTAGGACTCCGACTTCGTATGTGTCTGGGCTTACCTTCAGTAATGGTAACCATTGCCTCTCATCAGGATTAACTGTCGAAATTGTGGATTTAAGTCTATCCGCGAAAGCCGGCTTACTGCGGTGTTAGTGGTTCTTTTGTGGATATTCTTCTAGAGTCAAATCATGACGTCTGCAACGGGATCCCAAGTTCTTCCTATACGATTCCAGGAGCATCTACAGGTGAGTGACGTTTTGCCAACATAATGTATACTGCAATCAATCGCTCACCTACGTATGATTGTTTTTCAGCTCACAAGTGCTGGGATCAACCCAAATAATATAACTTTCAACAACCTGACGATGGAGTCGGATAAGTTCATCTGCATTAGAGAGAAGATGGGAGAAACGAACCAGGTTGTCATTTTAGACATGGCTGATCCAACGAACCCGACCAGGCGACCGATTTCCGCGGATTCTGCCATCATGAATCCTGCCTCAAAAGTCATCGCTTTGAAAGGTTTGTTGTTCGCGTTGCTGAGATTTAAGCGTTTTGGAAGCTCGGTCGTTGAGTTTGATAATTTGTTTTCATTTCCAGCCCAGAAGATGCTCCAGATATTCAACATCGAGATCAAAGCTAAAATGAAGGCACATAACATGACCGAGGAGGTGACATTTTGGAAATGGATATCTTTGAACTCCATTGCTTTGGTGACAGAAAAGGCTGTTTATCATTGGGCCATGGAAGGTGGGTTTAAGATTAAGGTGCTTCATGTCTCCATTGGAGTGTCTCCATTAAGTTTGATGACGCGGTTTAATTTTTTCAGGAGACTCAACGCCGCAAAAGATGTTTGACAGGCATCCGAGCCTGAACGGATGTCAGATCATCAACTATCGCACTGATCAAAAACAAAATTGGCTATTGCTGATTGGGATATCAGCGCAGCAGAACCGTGTTGTTGGTTACATGCAGTTGTACAGCGTGGAAAGGAAAGTGAGCCAGCCGATCGAAGGACACGCCGCATCATTCACACAGTTCAAGATGGATGGAAACCCAGAGCCATCGACGTTGTTCTGCTTTGCCGTCCGCTCGCAAGCTGGTGGAAAGTTGCACATCATTGAAGTTGGACAACCGGCTGCCGGTAACCAAGCTTTTCCAAAGAAGCAGGTGGATGTATTTTTTCCACCGGAAGCGCTGAACGATTTCCCGGTTGCCATGCAAGTAAGTTCATCCAGTTCTGGCTGTGGACTACTGTATCATGCATTAACTACAGTATACATGTGGACTATGCTTTTCATTAGGTGAGCAGCAAGTACGATGTCATCTACCTAATTACCAAGTACGGTTATATCCACGTGTATGACATCGAGAGTGGCGTTTGCATCTACATGAACCGTATATCGAGTGACACGATCTTTGTCACCTGTCCACATGAATCGACCGGTGGTATCATTGGCGTTAATCGCAAGGGCCAAGTTTTGTCAGTGACGATTGATGAGGAAAACGTGGTGCCTTACGTCACGAGTGTGCTGCAAAACCCGGACCTAGCCCTACGCATCGCGGTGCGCAACAATCTGGCTGGTGCAGAAGAATTGTTCGTGCGGCGCTTCAATTCTCTTTTTGCTGCGGGTCAGTATGCCGAAGCAGCGAAAGTAGCGGCTTCCGCGCCGAAGGGCGTGCTGCGCACACCAGCCATCATTGCGCGCTTCCAAACTGTGCCCACACAACCTGGCCAGACTTCACCACAACTGCAGTACTTTTCAATCCTTCTCGATCAAAGCAAGCTCAACAAGTTCGAATCCCTGGAACTCTGTCGACCTGTCCTGGGCCAGGGAAAGAAACAACTTGTGGAAAAGTGGCTAAAGGAAGAGAAGCTTGAATGCAGCGAAGAGCTTGGTGATCTAGTGAAGCAGTCAGACCCGACGCTAGCCCTCAGCGTTTATCTCCGTGCCAATGTTCCCGCCAAGGTGATTCAGTGTTTTGCCGAGACTGGACAGTTCCAGAAGATTGTGCTGTATGCGAAGAAAGTGGGATATCAGCCGGACTATGTGTACCTCCTGCGCAGCGTGATGCGAACGAATCCTGAGCATGGTGCTTCGTTCGCTCAGATGTTGATCCAAGATGACGAGCCGTTAGCTGACATGGGTCAAATAGTCGACGTGTTCATGGAGTCCAACATGATCCAGCCATGCACGGCATTCTTGTTGGACGCACTGAAGAATAATCGACCGTCGGAAGGAGCGCTGCAAACGCGACTCTTGGAATTGAATCTAGTGGCTGCCCCGCAAGTAGCCGACGCCATCATGGGAAACAACATGTTCACGCATTATGACAAGGCTCATATCGCCCAGTTGTGTGAGAAAGCCGGTTTGCTGCAGCGTGCGTTGGAGCACTACACGGATCTGTATGATATCAAGCGTGCCGTTGTACACACACACATGTTGAATCCCGAGTGGCTCGTGACGTTTTTCGGCACACTCAGCGTAGACGACTCCTTGGAGTGTCTCCGAGCTATGCTGACTGCCAACATCCGCCAGAATTTGCAGGTTGTGGTGCAGATTGCAACCAAGTATCACGACCAACTCGGCACGCAGGCACTTATTGACATGTTTGAGTCATTCAAGAGCTATGAGGGATTGTTCTACTTCCTTGGAGCCATTGTTAACTTCAGTCAGGAGCCGGAGGTCCACTTCAAGTACATTCAGGCCGCCTGCAAGACTGGACAGATTAAAGAAGTGGAGCGAATCTGCCGTGAGAGCAACTGTTACAGTCCAGAACGCGTGAAGAATTTTTTGAAGGAGGCTAAGCTTACGGATCAGTTGCCGTTGATCATTGTGTGCGACCGATTTGACTTCGTGCACGACCTTGTCCTATACCTGTACCGTAATAATCTGCAAAAGTACATCGAAATCTACGTACAGAAGGTGAACCCAGCACGACTGCCAATTGTGGTGGGAGGTTTACTGGATGTCGACTGTAGCGAGGATGTCATCAAGGGTCTCATGGCTGTAGTGCGTGGCCAGTTTTCGACGGACGAACTGGTGGAAGAGGTGGAGAAGCGAAATAGACTGAAGCTGTTGCTGCCGTGGCTCGAGGCACGCGTGCATGATGGCTGTGCCGAGCCAGCGACGCATAACGCGCTTGCAAAGATCTACATCGATGCAAATAATAATCCGGAGCGGTTTTTGCGGGAGAACACGCACTACGATTCCCGTGTGGTGGGTAAGTACTGCGAGAAGCGAGACCCGCATTTGGCGTGCCTGGCCTATGAGCGGGGCCAGTGTGACAAGGAGCTGATGAGGGTTTGCAACGAAAACTCCCTCTTCAAGACTCTGGCCCGTTACTTGGTGCGGAGGCGGGAGCCGGAGCTCTGGCTTCATGTTTTGGCAGAGACGAATGAGTTTCGACGCCCATTGATTGATCAGGTATGTCAGAGATGTGGTTTGTTGTTTTCCATTGTACGCGAGTCTGAAAAGACGTGAGAAAACACTTCTGGTTTGAAAAGAGCGTGATGTATTTAGCCTGTCGTGAGACTCCTGGCAGTCATCTCATTAGCATCATCTGGTAGTGGTTGGTAATCGGATTGAAGACTAAATATGGTACTCAGATTCATGTCTATGTTGGTTGAGTATCCTACTATAAAAAAATGCCACTTGATGACTTGATGCATGGATTGATTCCAGCCGTTTAGTTGGAAACTTGCTCCTTCTTATGAATATTGTTGTGAGCGTTCGTGCGTGAAACGGAATACGGATTATAGTTGAATATCATTATCACTTCCAGGTTGTCCAAACTGCCCTGTCGGAGACGCAAGACCCTGACGACATTTCTGTGACTGTGAAAGCCTTCATGTCAGCCGACCTGCCAAATGAGCTCATTGAATTGTTGGAGAAGATTGTGCTGGACTCCTCCGCCTTCTCAGACCACCGTAACCTCCAAAACTTACTCATCTTGACTGCCATCAAGGCGGATCGCACACGCGTGATGGATTATGTGAATCGGCTGGATAACTACGATGCACCAGACATTGCAAACATTGCCATCCAGTCCGAGCTTTTCGAAGAAGCTTTCGCCATATTCCGCAAGTTTGAAGTGAATGCAAGCGCGATACAGGTGCTGATTGAGCACGTGAAAAATCTCGACCGAGCGTACGAGTTTGCCGAACGGTGCAACGAACCAGACGTGTGGTCACAGCTGGCTCGCGCCCAGTTGGAGCAGGACATGGTGAAGGAAGCCATTGACTCTTACATCAAGGCGGATGACCCGTCAGCCTTCATGCAAGTTGTGGATACCGCCCACCGTACCGGACACTGGGAAGACCTGGTGCGGTACTTGCTGATGGCTCAAAAGAAAGCCCGAGANTTGATCAAGGTGCTTTTGACCTTTCATTCAGTTGGATAAGCTGGAGGAAGCAGAACAGCGCCGCATTGAGGAAGGGCCGACGATGGACGAGAAACCGATCTTGATGGGCGAGCCGCAGTTGATGCTGACGGCGGGACCGATGGCTCTGGGGGGCGGAGGCTATCCGCAGAATCCGGCTGGTGGCGCTGCACCATACCTGAATGCTTATGGCGCTCCTCCAAACATGAATGCTATGGGTGGTGGCTACGCGGGAACAGGCGGCGTCTACGGCATGTAGGGTGTGCCTTTGTTTCCGCGTCTGTTGCTGCATCTCTGGAGGCATCAACCAGGGCACATTTTTACTCCGCGTCCTTGTCATTATTCGGCCGGTTTAATCTCATCGCATATTTTTCGTGTTCTTCTGTTCTACTTTTTCTGATGGCTTACTTTGTATGCATTGTTTCTCCGGAAATTTGATTTATTTTTCGGCCGATTACTGATGGATTGGACAAACATTCCAGCTGTGCCCAAGGACTATTTTTGGCCTCGAATCTAGATGTTTCGCGCTACTCCATCCCATTTTTCGCTATTTATTGCGTGTTGTGCCGGTGATGGAGAACCTCGCTCATTCCGATTGCCGATTCTGCCTAACTGCAAGTAAACATGATGCACATTTTGCTTGGGCAGCAAAAATCGAAGAAATAAAACTCTCCTCTTGCCACTTGCACATGCACCGCGAACATGTTAGTAGGGATGAGCGCTTAGTGTGACGAATTGTGCCGTGTGCGAAAATTCATTAAGCCCCTCGATGCGGTGCAGCTTCAGTGATTTAGTTAGCCGTGACTGCAATCGGAAGAAGTGACAGGACTCGAGTATCTGGTGGTTATGTGCGCTGCGGGGATCCAAGTGCATATGAATATACACTTATGAAAATATATTGTATGGAGATGAGAAGTTAAAAAGGTTCAACTTGTTTGGGATTTTGGTCTGGCATAATTGATTTGGCTCCCGTGGGGTTTTTTTTTTGTGTTGCTTCCCGCATTGTGTTTCAGTGTTCTGTTATGGGGAAAAGAATTTATGGAATTTCGAATCTGGATGAAGCAAGCGTTGGATGAAATGAGTTGGAAGGCAGTTCATTGCGTTCCCGCCTTCTGGTTCCAGTTCACGTTTCTCATCATTCCATCAGTATCTATATTTCGGCTACGCTCTCAATTTTCTTCTTTTTCCAGGCGTGTTGGGAAGGTAGTTCAGAGAGAGTGTCGGCGAACATGGTGGGGGCTGTGGTGGAGAATCTGAGTGGGCGGAAGCTGGCTGTGCTTGGTGGACTTCTGGTGACAGCTCAGGTTACCTGCTTCCTCCTTGGTGGCATCAGAAGTGAGTTCTGTTCAACGTGAGAGCTCCTCGAGTTTTCATTATCACAATCCTGCTTCTATTTCATGCCTTTAGCAGCTTTCATGCAGGAATACTTGTGTCTCCGGAGAATGACCATCATCGGTCTTCGTTCCTACACTATTTTTATTCATTTTTTTCTTCCATGATCCGAGACATTGCTTAGTCCGTAATTCGTGAAGTGACTGAAACTTTATACGCGAGTGTGTTCAATTGCATGTAAAAACATACAGGTATTTGAAATTGGTCATTGGATGAAAGTTGGCCTTTTCACGTGAAAATCCGGGTCCCGTCGAGTTTAAAAGCGTGTTCATCTCTTGTAGGCTTTTATATGTGATCAAATAAGTTGGTTGTGCGCTCCTATAAGAATGCTGTAGCTTCATGATTTTCATGGAGGCAATTGATTCATATCGAGAATGATCAGTCGTTGGTGTTTTGCAGCTCCTGCGCCTTCAGGCACAATCCAGTCTTTGACAACCAAATGTCTGGATCCTGTGAAGGACGGTAGTCACGATACGTGGTTCATCCCGTGGCCGACGGACAGATTTGGTGAAACCCTGTGCGAACGATTGGAACACATCGACGAAGCCTTAGGCAGAAATGTAACGGCGAGGCAAATTGTGTTCGCAAGCAAGCTCCCGCATCGGAAGGAAAATGCGACGCTGGATTTTTCCCGTTGGCAGCAAAACCTGATCGGTGTGCTGCAGGTAATTTTCTTCTGAGTTTCAACAGCGCGATTAGCAAATTTTAACTCTCCTGTTTCCTTCCGTCTTCGTATTTAGGTAGATGTGGAGTACGAGCCGGAGCGGAACATGGCCGTGCTGCAGGTAGAACTCACTATGGACCTCCGCCTTGGTTATCGGAACAAGCGAGATTCCGAGTGGCATTTGTTGGCTGAATCAACGGAGACGCGGACGCTACGGTGCAGTGTGGAGAACAGCCAGAAGGAGGAGGTGATGGGCTTGAAGCGACGTCATGCGTACGACTGTGACATGATCCCGTTGTTCGAACTGGGCAATATCCACCACGACTTTTACCTGCTGAACATCCGGCTTCCGTCAGAGTTGATGGACGGACGCAAGGTGAATCAGAACCTGGGGCGTCTGTCGGACCTAACGTTGACTGTGATCCACGGCAACGGTGGGTTTGTCAAAAAGTGGCTAGCCATGAAGTCCGCCTTTCTTCCGATTGTTTCGGCTGCTGCGGCCTGGTTTTGGGCCCGAGTCTTGAAGCTGCATCGCGCTCCTTCCTTGCTTGAATCCATGTTGCTTGCCCTTGGCGTGGCGCTGAGCGTGTTGAACGTGCCTCTGGAGCTGCTGTCACTGGTCTTTGATACTCCATGGATGCCGCTGGTGTCGGACATGCGTCAGGGACTGTTTTATGCCACGCTGCTCTCGTTTTGGCTCGTGTTTGCCGGAGAACATCTCATGGACGACGTGGAACGCAATAAGCTGAGCGAGTACAGGAAGAACCTTTTATCCGTTGGGCTTGGCTGTCTCAGCTTGTTTGTGTTTGACATGTGCGAGCGAGGCACGCAGTTACGGAACCCATTCCAGTCTATTTGGCGGACACGGGTTGGCGCCAATTGCGCCCTCGCTTTTATTGTCATGGCTGCCATCTCCGCCATTGTCTACTTCGTCTTCCTCTCGTATCTCATACTGAAGGTTTTTCTCAACATTTCGTCTAAGCGGTCTGCCCTGCCGGCCATGTCTTCCCTCAGAAGGATGCATTACGAGGTTTGTGTGTATGCGTTGACTGTCCCGACTATTCCTGACGAGATAGCCCTCGTTTCTTTTACGTAGTATTCTGCCTCTGGTACAGTTTTCGATTGGTAAAGATAGTTATGGGAGCCAGTGTAAAGAATGGGAACCTTTCATATCTCGCATGACATTTTTGAATCTTCGCTAATTTTTTATATCCGCTGATCCGAGCATGAGAAGATGTTTTCAAGGGTGGTTCTATGCATATTATGGGTGAACCTTCTATCAGTACGAGTGGCTATATTCTCGAGCATCCGCGAGTGCTGCACTGTACTATGATTGACTCTAATGTTCAGGATGTTGAAGCAGGACAATGGACGCCGGCAGAATTTGCTTTTCTTCCAATTGTATTGTGGTCAACCTTTCAACTGAATGGATTACTCATTTTCCGATGCGTACTTCTAAAGAATGAAATCCTGAATGCATGTCTGTACGTGGTAGGGAATTGGGCGACTGATTTGTTCGGCTAACCCCCTTATATCTGACCTGGCGATAGCACCGTCCTTGGGATCCAAGAACATGATCCGGTTTTTCTTTCTTTTTTATTCTTCCCGAAACCGTGCTTGACTCTTTTGAAATGCCTTTCTTCTCAGGGGATTATCTACCGATTCAAGTTCTTGATGTTGTTCACGCTGCTGTGCGCCGCGATGACGGTTGTGAGCTTCATCATAGGGCAAGTTTCGGAAGGCGAATGGAAGTGGGAGGATGATGCGCAAATCGACATTCAGTACACGTCTGCTTTCTTCACGGGTGTCTACGGCATGTGGAATATCTACGTCTTGTCACTCCTGGCACTCTACGCTCCTTCACATAAGCGCTGGCCACAAGAATCCGGTGAGCATTGTTGCTCTCATATTTGGACCATTGGCGTGGGTGTTTTTTTGCAAAGGGAATGAATGTTTATTTTCTGATCAGATACCCTGAGTGTCAGTGGAGAACAGTTGGAGTTCAGCAGGTTGCCAACGGAACCGACGGATGCACCCGGTCTTCAAGACCTGCTGCAGAAGCAATCATTGGACTAGGGCATCTTGGAGGGCCGAAAAGCGTCAGTTCGTGCATGTGTGGAGACGTGTCTGTTCGGTTTTTTATTTATTCATTTTTATGTTTTGATATTGTCTATCTGTTTGATTTTCTGCTTCGTATTTCGTCTTCCCCTAACGAAAGCCATTGTCGTCCACGGTGCATGAGGAGTGAATCAGATGATTTGTCGAAGCGTCGATTCAGTAATTTCTGTGTTACTGACTAAAATATAGGCCAATTTTGGGGCACCAACATCCTCTACACCAAATGAGTTGTCCATCATGCCTGAAACGTGGATATGTTTTTCTACATTTCTCAAATGTTTTCTGTTAGAATGAGAATATCATTTTGGATATTCTTCGTGTGTTTCTCTTCGAAAAATACCATGAGATCAAAAATTTTGAGTATGGAAACCTGAAACTACGAGTCAAGAGTGTACACAATTCAACTTCATTCGAAGCCCAAGTGAAATTATCCCGATTTTTAGAATTGGGAGTTCAAAAATCCAATGTTTTCTTATTCGGACGACTGACGTAGCAGCCATATTCAGAAAACTAAAACTGAAGTTATTTTCACCAATAACCAGTCGTATTGGTTTTAATGAATTGCTGAAGGGCCTTCAACATTGTAAAATGCTTCATATTCTAGTATTGACACATTTTTGACCTTCGGGTCCAACTGCTCGTATGCGGGAACGTCCGCGGTATTCTTATTCTTCAAGCGCGACAGGAACGATAACTACAGTACTTGGACGGCATTGAGTTCAACGCTTGTTCCAACCTAAGTTCAGGTTACTTCCTTGTCTGGTTTCGGAAAGATGCTGCTGTCATACCAAAGTATCCAATGCCGCCCTGTCCAGAAGGGGCAGTAACGTTTCTGCGGAGTGTCTTCCTACCGAAGAAAACGTAATTTTTCTTTGCGGAAATGATGAGTGGCATGATTTCCTCAATTTCGGTACACTTTTGATGGACGTTATTTTAAACGATAGTAAAATTCGATGTTAAGTCGAGCAGTTCTTTGATTCGTCATTGAAAAGAAATCGTTCCAGTTCTTCCAAACTGAAGTTTTCGGGCAATGTAGAAGCAAGTTGATTGAATTCCGCACTTTTCTCTGTGATGCGCGAGAAGTGGTCATTTTTTTCAACAGATCTGCAGATGCTTTTGTTCAAAATTTCGAAGGTTACTGTTTCTGTAAAAAAGAAGATAATGCTTCGAATAAATGAGGACGTTTGGATGTGTATCCTGTTATTCAGCCAAAATAGAGAAAGTACAGTACAATTGTAATTTGTGTCGAGGTTTGATCTTTCTCTGCCTTCAGTGTAAGAAGAGCAAGATGGCAAAAGTGCATGTGAGCAGTATGACAGTGCTGGACAATCCTTCTCCGTTCGTGAATCCGTTGCAGTTCCAAGTGACGTTCGACTGCATTGAAGACCTATCAGGGGACCTGGAGTGGAAACTCATCTACGTCGGCTCAGCTGAAAGCGAGAACTTTGATCAAGTGCTGGACACAGTTTATGTATGTGGGGCCTGTGCCCGAGGGCCGACACATGTTCGTGTTTCAGGCTGATGCCGCGGACACGGGCGAGATCCCTCCCGAGGATGTGGTGGGGGTGACAGTCATCCGTCTCACTTGTTCCTAGAATGGCCAGGAGTTCGTGCACGTTGGTTATTGTGTCAACAACGAGTAAGCCGATGCCGAGTTGAAAGAAAATTCTCCCTCCGTCGTCTGCTTCTATAAACTGCAGCGGAACATTTCGGGTAGTGATCCGAGGGTGACAAGGTGAGGGAATTAAACGTTTTTACGCTGCGCCCAGTTTGTCATTGTAATGTAAAGGTGTCATAACTTATCTTGTGCAGGTTCAAAGTCAATTGGGGCCCGTCAAAAGAGGCGGAACGAGTGGGTGCGGAGTTGTCCGTAACGGACTCCGTGTCAGCATCACTGAAGGGTAGCACTGTTTCGTGTGAAGTGCTGCTGATGGAAAATGACGACGAGGAAGACGCGCCGTTTCTGCCGCAGGAGCGGATGGAGGAAGGTGTAACACCTAGCTTTACATTTGTCAACAATAGCGTTCATATTAAGGCGCGTTTCGTCACCAAGGACTGCATTTCAATGGAGCAATGAAAGTTGGTTGGATCTTTTGGGAAGTGAGAGATCCAGAGTCGTCTCCTCTTTCGGTTTTTTTTTGCCATCTCCGTATTCCGTGGAGTCACCCATCTCACGGCCATTGTGTTGACATCGAATGAATATTTTTTTAATTGCTGTATTTATCTTTCAATTGTGCCGCATTGCACGTCGCAGGTTTTGTTGAAAAATTATTTATTTTTGTCAGTTTTCGAGAAGAATAGGGGGGGGAGATGTAAGCTCAAATTGGAGCCTGTGCAGTCGTTTCTGCTCTGTGGACAGAATGAATTTTGTTCACGATTGCTATATTCTGGAATTTCCTTGCCAATATCTCAATTGATTTTATTGTATTCCCCCAAATGAATCCATCAATAACCATCCATCAAGTCTGAAACTGTTTTCGGGCTAATTGTGCATAATTAAATGAACCCCTGTCAAAGTCTAAGGGTGAATTAAAAACTGTGAGGGGATTGAACGAGACCATGTTTAATAAATGCGAATTTTCCCCTAGCAAGGCAGAGGATGACAATTTTTTCATTGCTTAGGTCTTCGTGTAGAGTATGACTTGTGACATCTTGATGAATGGTCGTGATGGCAGTTTTTTCTTTTGTTCTTTTTTTGGGCGTGGACTTTCTTTCTACCTTTTTTTTTTTTTTTTTTTTCAAAGTAGGTGATCTCTCAAGGCGTTCTCCGGCTTGAAACGTCAATGGTGTCTTTGTCATGTATTAGTGAAGCTAATGTCCCCTTGAGGGACATACAGATGCTTTTTGTTTGTTGGTTGTGTGTTTTCCTGTCAACCTCAAGTGCAGAGAACCGGTATTCTCAAAGCTTGAATGAAAGACCAAATTTGAGCCAAACCCCATTATTACGAATGGCAAAAACAAAGGCAGTATGGGACAAAGCTGAGAAAGTAAGAGTAGGCTTCATCTGCTTTAAGCTTTGCAACTTGAAAAGAACGCTTCTTTTAGAGATTGGATGGGCAAAAGCTGGCGCAACTGAGAGACGAACTACTGGTGCAAGACAAGCAAGAAGCGCATTTGAAGCAGCTCAAAGCCGAGGGGAAGGACAAGGAGGGATTATATGAGGCAAAACTCCGGAATCGGTTGAACAGTGCGTATTGTTGGATGGAATTCATCATCAGAAGTCACTACATGTGTTGACTGGTGTTTTAGTGCTCATGATCAAGTATTCGCTGGTGGATCCGAGTCGGGTTCGGGACAGTGGCACGGAACTCGACGACAACAGTGGTGCTCGATTGCTCACGAAGGCGAATATCAAGGACAAAAAGCTGCAGAAGCTGTGGACAAAAGGTTTGTTCGTGCGTTAATTATAGCTTCGTCTTGCCGTAAATCGTGTCATTCAAAATTATTATTTTGCTTCAATCTGTGCCCCCCGTTGGTGTGCGTAGCGGAAGAGGCTGGATTTACCTTCGAGGAATTGCTGACCCTGAAGCAAGAATTCGTTCACTATCAAGAGAAGCAAGAAATGCTTGAAACCCTTCTTGCGGATGTGGGACCGAACTTGATTAACGAGTTGGACCCTGAAAAGCACCATACTAGAATAAAGTAAGTCTCGCCAGTACATCTCCTTGACTCGATTGAAATTTCAATATTTGCTACTGAACTACTGTAGCATGTACCATGCTACAGTACCATTTGACCTCAGCATACAGTCTTCGTGGGATGTAGTACAGTGCTATCGCGGGATTGATTATGTAATACGGCATACGAAGAATTAGGAGGTAAACTGTGCGATGGTGCTGCGGCGGCACCGCTAGAGTAAGTCCCCAATGAGATGGGGAAATGTAGATGGCTTCCTTTTTCCTCCCCTTTCTTAAGCTTGCTGCGCGCTGAATTGAAGTCTGAAATGAAGAAGTTTGAGAAAGTGGCGAGTGTGAAGCTGACGGATTCACAGAAGCGTGCTGTGGATCGTGAGGGATTCTTCCACCCGCGTGTGTCTTCACTCTGGAAACTCGCACAGACGTCTAATTTCTCTGCGGATGAGCTGGAGTCCCTCAGAGACGAGTTGCGTCACTTTGAAGCTCGCGTGGATAAACTCGAGCACTTGCAAGCGGAGAAGGCGCTCAAAGAACAGCAGAAGCAGGAATTGGGCATTGCAGCGTACGACGATGGGCAGGGGAGTGATGGTAGCCTTGGATACCGGGACGAGAGGATTCGTGCCCATGGGGAGATCGTCGAACAACATCAACGTCAACTTCAAGATCGCATCCTGATGCGACATCACTCGGAATTGTAGCGAGAGGTTGTGTGGCGGGCGTTTGAATTTTTATGCCAATAAATTTTATTTTACCCTGTTCTGGAAATGATGGATCAATCAATTCACCCCTGAAGTTGTCTCTGTGAAAATTGTCAACATATTTTCGTAATTCACCCCTATAGAAATGGAAGGGAACAAGTTTAAAAGGTGTTTGGCAGGGCTGGCCCTGGCATGGGTGGCGCCTTTGTGCAAGAAGCTATTTGGAGTTCCTAAAAAACGTTGGATTTCAAATTTGCGGTGTCTTTTCACATTTAATATGAATGATGAAATGGGCTTGCTACCATGACATTTGTGTCTATTCTCATTGCATAACTGGGATATGTCCACAATGGTTCATCACTGCATGAAAAAAGCAAACATCATAAAAAAAATCATGTGCAAAAACATATTGACAATTAAATGGTCACCAGCACTCCAGGAGATTTACTTACTTGTTTGAAGAAAAAATACAAATCCTTCACATGCATACTTTTCTTGCCCTTCCACTAGCAAATCTTCCAATTATGTTGCTCAACAACACCTGTGGTGCCACAGAGTTTTGTACAAATTAGTGTAGTTGAAAGAAATTGGAATCATAAAAACTCAACTTCAAAAAACACTTCAACTATCAGTCAAAACTCTGTCAATTGTGAATTTTTTCAAGTTTAAAATATGGAAATTGTAGGAATCATCATTGTGGTTCCAATGGTGTTGAAAAAATAAAATTCAGTGCAGAAGTTTTGATGTTAAAATTTTGCAGACTTCTAGAAGATTGGGGGGGGGGTTAAATTTTAATCTATCTCATTTTAACTTTTTAATTTTGATGAATTTCAAATATTTCCTGTGAGATGAAATGCACACCGATGTATTACAAAGTTAGGCATTTCTTCCATTGCAAAATGGTGGAAAGTGAATGAGATAAGATTCAAGAAGTAGAGTATTTTTGCTGATTTTAGAAAAGTTTTCCCATTCTCATTTTCAACTCCTCAAATTTCCATTACAGTATTTTTCAAGATTTAAATAGATGAAATCTTGCAAACTTTACTGCACAGCATGTAATCCCATTTATGGTAAATTTTTGCGCAGTAGAAATATTTTCATTCATGTTGAAGTTGAAAGAATTTCAAAAAAAAGTGATATTGAAAAAAGTTTTACACATTAGTTTGTAATTCTGACAATTGTAAATATTTATCAATTTTTACACAAGAAAATTTTAGAAAACTTCATTGCCTTTTCAATGCAGTCAAAAATTGAAGTTTGGTGCATATTTCACTGTTGAGCAAATTTTTAAAATTGGAAAAATGGGAAGAAAACTTGAAAAGGAATTTAGACTTTTGAAATAAACTCATTTTCACTTTCTTGCTATTGATGTACTTGAAAAATTTCTCGCAGGGGGTTGTTTGTGCACTGACATCCTAAAAATGCCGGTTTTTTTTTCATTGAAGCAAAATAGAAATTAAATTGGTTAAAACTTGAAAGTTAACACTTTTTTCCAGTTTTCATACCATGAAAAAGTTTTTGCATTCTTGAGTGTAACTTTTTAAATTTGCAACAGTTTGAGAGTTAAAAAAAAATAAAATTTAGATGACATCTTTGTGCATAAAATGGTGTCTATACTGTTTTAATGTGGCCCTTGGCCACGTCTGAGTTGTGCACCACTGGCATAGACTCTATGGAGGAATTGGAATGTTCACAAAATTGAAGACTTGAAACATGCTTTAAAAAATTGTGTTGTCCCCCAATTTACAGACTGCCCAGCACAGTCCATAAACCAAATGGATTTTTTGATCAAACCAAAAATCTATTAGCCAGGTGGTCTGTAAACCTGGGGTTGACTGTACAGAGCATCCCTTAAAAGTGTGTGAAACCCCTTTGAAAATTAAAAGGTATTTCTGAAGACCATATCTATTTTAAAGGGATTTCTTAAGCACTTGAAAAATGCCTCAATCATTTCAAAGGGACTTTTCAAATGTTTGAGAAATGACTAGCATTTCAAAAAAGTTTCTCAAATGTTTGAGAAATGCTGTATATATGCATGTGATCTTTAAAAAGTTCAATGATGCATTCTTAATATTTATTACCAGAGCACATATTTCATTACCTGAGTTATCTGCTCTGTGTTATGGTTATTTGAAACATTATAAAATAGTGCAAAATCTTGATCTGTTATCAAGAGTAAATTGTTGGCATTTTTCTCTTGGTCTTCTTCATTATACCCATTCTGTGGGCTGCCAAAACAAAAGCTTACTATTCAAATTTAATTTCTTTATTTTTAAAATCTTACCCCCCTCTAGCCGTGGAAAACTCTCCTAAGATAGGATATTCAGGTGAATTTTGCAAGAAAAGTTGTTCTTGACCCTAGCTTTCATCCATGTCCAAATAACAGTCATATTATGTGGTGGTCTCAATTAAAATGGGAAATTTGAGACCGGGTTTGCCATCATTGAGATTTTTGTCAGAAAAATCCCAACATGTTCCCAAAAGAGTATGTTATACACTGAACTGGGAAACTTTGTTTTAATGATATTGCTGCAACATGTACTCTATGTGGTCCCTGCTGGGACTAGGTTATTGAGAACAATAGTTAGTTATACTGAAAATGTGGTTGTAATAATAAGATTTTACTGCTGTACATACAGTATGGGTGGACTGTCTCATCCCTCTGCAATGATCTTGACTATACGTCAATTATCTATACCTGTATAGAAAACGATTTTATCATATTCATCCTCATGTTATCTTCAGGGGTATTCTCTTTCATGAAATTTTATCCATGACGAATTTTTCTTACCCTTGGCTGTAGTCCTGTAGAAGTGTAGAGTGTTCTACAATGTTATATTTCTGGTCAAAGGGTTTCCATTCTTGGACTACTACACTTGTGATGAAGGGATCGATTTTCGTTCTCTCTCTTCCTCCTCCTTATTGGTCCTGTTCATCTCTCTCTCCATTCTTGCTTCTTTGCAGGAGAAGAGGATCAACCCTCTTCTCCAGCAGGAGGAGGAACAAAAATCGATCCCTTCACTATATATATACCGGTGTAGCAGTCCAAGAATGGGAAACCTTTCACACATGAATATACATATATGTAATTTATTGCAATCAAACAAAATTAGTTGGAAGAGACACTGCACTAGATTAATAAACAACAACAACAACAACATAAAATAGTTCTGACAATGAATTATTGTTAGTTTGTCCCGTTGAGTCGCGCAAATCCGCTGAGGAACCCTCCTGATGCCTGCTACACCCTGCCTGGAAAGAGAAGGATCCCTCAAGGAAAGGAGGGAGTGAAGGATCCCCGCGGATGTGGCTGCATGATGGAATCCTGCTTCCTTCTCCGTCATATGGTCTCTCCCCTGTCTTCCATCTACCCCCAAAAGAAACCCTCAGCCTGCCAGTTGGAACTGGGATCCCTAGCAGTATAGTGTTCACTGCATATGAACACAAATGCAGGGAAATATATAACTTCATTGAACCTTGGGTTCCTTTCCTTTCAGCATAATTATCTTGCATGATGGGGAAAGATTGAAAACAATAAATTAAAAGAGTGCCAAACTGTGGTGAATGCATTTGCATTTCATGTTGCAAATGAGTAGCAAGTTTTTAAAGTAGTGAACACAACAAAATAAGATTACCTCATCAACGACAAAGATGGCGAGTCAAACTGGGAGGAATAAGGTGGTCTTGTGTATTATTTTATACTTGGCAAATGTGATGGCGCAAGCAGAACATCGCCCCAACTCTGTGCAAATTGGTGAGTATACAGTTGAACCTCATCAACTCAAACCTCCCTAAAAAGTTGAATGCTTTGCTTCGTCAAATTTTTTCTAGTCTGAATCTCTGTAGAAACAATATGCATTGAAAGCCTCTGTAACTCAAAGGCTATGCCTCTAAAACTGGAATTTTCTGGAGGCATTTTTGCTATTAATGACCCATTCAGGAGAGAAATAGTGAAACAATTTTATTTGGTGAATTTTGATAAGAATAGGACAAATCATAATTTAGCAAATGAACCCTTTTCTCCAAGTTCAGCATACTGAAAAATTCCAAACAGACCCCTAATTTCACCTTGTCCTAATCCTTTTTTTCCCCATGGCAAAAATTGTAGCTTTCCCAACTTCAAACCTCTATTTGGGATTTTTTTTTCCAGCTGGTCCATTGATTGGAATTTAACTTGAAGAAGTTCAACTGTGAATCTTTATTTTCTTGGACTACAATAATGTGTTTTTGCATTCCTGTATTATTAGGTGAGAGCTGCATTTTAGAAGAATAACTGCTGATCATCCAAAGAAAACCCCCATTGTTTTTAAAATCCTGCAATTTAAACCTATGATAGAAAATTTGCATATTTGCATACAAATTTGCATACAAGCTGTAGGAGTGATTTTATATTTTCAAACTTTTGTTTTTTTATAAGGAAACTTCCCCTTAAACGCGAGTTATTTTAACCAGCCTAAAAATAATGCTGAATTTTTTGCTTCCAGATCTCAGCTAAAAAAAATAAGTAAAAATCCCCATTTTGCCAGTGAGGTTTATATTGGAATGCTGGGTTGAGCTACTGGTACTATTTTTGTAAATAAACACTGCGGGATAGTGGGAGCGTTTACATACAGTTGTATATAGTCACGTATATACCCTCTCGTGTAAAAAAAAAAAAAGAATATAAACACACATTCGAATTTCTTCATTTATATTTGGCTGGTGATGAAGAATATATGTCCGTGTGCTTCAATTATACACTCTTGTTTGACTATATTATTCACCCGACAACAACAACAACGAAAAGGCGCCATTTTCACCGACGAAGAGCGGAATTCGGCGTCCGAGCTGGCCCTGCGTTACGCTGTGAATCGAGTCAATGCGGACAGGAACCTTTTGCCAAACGTGACTCTTTCCTTCCAAATACAATATGTGCATCGGGATGATGCCTTTCGTCTCTCCAAGAAAGGTACTGTTTTTGTTTGTTTCTTAAAATTACAGTGGGCCCCTGTCTGGTGGACTTAATTAGTGCAACAGCAGATTAGTAATTTATATGCAAAAAGTCTGTTAGGCAAGTTGAATTTCCTCATAGGTTATTCACATGTTGAAAATTTTAATTCGGATTTTGTTTGATAATGTAACAGAAAAATTAGGAATAAACTTAGAAACACAATCATTCTTGAATTGAATCAAACTATGAGTGTTATAAGCACTTTCAAAATATGAAAAAAGAAAAGCCCATAAGTCACTTGCTATACTCAGTCATTTTCTCAAGAAAGGGGAAAACATTAAAACAACACACTGATGACTCCGAGTCATGGTTGTCATGA